CAAAACCACTGGTAAATAAAACGCACCTTAGTATCGATATTTTTTGTTTGAGTATCGATACTTTCGATACTCGCGTCAGTATCGATATATCGATACTTCGGTTCGATACGCCCATCCCTAGGGGGGACTCGATTTCTCATGATGACACCGGCACTTAAACTGAAAGCAATCAAAAAAGCCCATGGACAGGTTTTTGCTAACAGGATACGACATTCGGTGAGGGAAACGCAAAAATTATCATGATATTATCTGTCATAAACGTTATCAACGCTGTCAAAAACAGTAGCATTTAACACTAGTACACACAGATCTGTAGAACAAGTAGGTTACAGAATGAAAGGAAATACGTAAAACTAGCCATGAAGAAGTCTATGCTATGTCATTTGGTAAATTTTCACAAATCATGCTATAAACTTTCATAAGAGCACAATACAAAGTTGTTGTAGTTATGTATTGTTGCAATAAACAACTGATAAAATGATCCACCCTTAAATATAGTAAACTTACACTAAATATAGTAAACTTACCTTTCAAATCGATCAAGGTCACCGTACATCACGAACAACAAATAAAACAGCAATAAATAACCATATCAATGAACCATAAAAAGAAAAGGAGCAGTTTCCAACACAAAAAAAACTATTAAAGATTTGAGTGTAGACAGTAATCATGTAGGATAAGCTATTCTGAATAAGTGAGTTTTGAGTTTAGCTTTGAATTGGGATAACAAATCTATAGTCATAGGTGGGGTAAAATGCCCCCTTGGTACAAATTACATTTTTGTTACAAATCTAATAACATGAAAACTCTGGATATTTTTCATACTTTGTTTATAATTTATGTCATCGTCACTAAAACTATGATAACTTTTCTGAACACATTTAACTTTTGTCTCACAGAAAAAAATTACACAGTCCTTAAGGGGGGCGTTTTCCCCCACTCTACCCCAACTTATATAATGCATGTTATATAATGCAAACCGCTGCTGGTGTGGTAAACTGCACACTGGTAAACACTAAAAGTCATTTATTGAGGCTGGCACTGTAGACTACTTATTTATAACATTATGACCTTCACACAAGCCATTCAAGAGTTCGACTGACCAGTGGTGGAGCTCTGAACTATTGGCAGTAAAGTAAGAAAATGACTTCTCTCAGTGAGGAATCCCAGAATCACTCAGTATTTTAGGCAAACACATTCTATTTTTTCATTTATTTGTTTGCTCAGAATTAAATGTCATGTAAGCTAGAATTCATTTATAGTCTGAGGAAGCTTATGGCTTTTAGTATGCATTATTTATGTACCGTTTATATAGGCCTGTCTATTTAGATTGTTGTTTAAGTACCATTGCATTATTTATAACACTCACTATAAACATGTACATTTAGAAAGCAGTCATTTAACAGATGCATTTATCCACATATTACAGGGACAGCCCAGGTTTAGGGTTAAGTGCTTTATACAAGGGCTCAATAGTGAGGGCTCATGACTCACTCACAGGGATCAAACAAGCAACCCTCTAGTTACTAGCCCTTAACTTTAATATGTATCTATATGCTTTTGTAAGGATAGAAGTCATAATGTTTAAGCATTTAATTATACTTTCAGTTAAGCATTAAATGCATTTTACATCAGGAATCAGAAACCTATACCTGCTTTCAGATCGAACACTGCTCAGGTAGCTCCTACAGCCAACCCTTCTATTCTGAGAGCTGATATCACTGCCACCGTAGTAAGACCTTCCATCACTCGAGAGCGAACGGTTCATCAGCCTTCTGGAACTCATCTTCTTAGTCTATAAGTGTCCACTCAAAGTCAGCTGCCTATATCCAGCATATATTCTTAAAGCCTGTCCACAAGAAACTGCAAAAGAAAGTTAGGGAGACCAGCAAGACTCTTCTGTCATCACAGCCAGCATCCCAGCAGTAGATTCTCCATATGTTTTTGTCTTTACTTGGACACTCGGGGGTGCGCTCTAAGCTCAGTGTTTTCTTTCTGTGCTGTTGGACTCCTGGGGTGGTGCACCGGGGCATAAGACTCTACTGTTTCCAATCAGTCTGCAGCTTGCGTGGCCATGAAGGATAATTATAGCAAGGCCACAAATAGGCACACAAGCACATCGCATTTTCCAAAACCGACTCACTAGCTTTTTTTTTTTTTGCTGTCAACTAAAACGTCCATCTCTTACTGAAATCGATGATGGAAGTCCTTAAATAATTTTTTCAAGGTCAGTACATGGCCAGTACCACTAACGTAAGTCTTGTAGTAACCCAGCATAACCCTTAAATGGACTGCCGATTCAAGTAAACCTGCTTGTCTGCCTGATGGCATTTCTCTGAGCTCCATTAATGCAGACTATAAAGTGAGGCATTTGAAGACATGGGGTTCCTTTCCAAGCACCATGAAACTGTAGTTACACAGACATCTCCTGATGGGGTCCTGCTAGTTTTCATCCAATGTGCATTAGTGGAAGTATCATAAGCTTGTGAAGGATTTGGACCTGTGGTGCCGCATGCAGGTGAGCATCAGGTCACACCAGGATCCCCTGAATCCTTTTTATAACATGGGTTCAGTCTGTTTATAGACACCATCATTCACAAGTTTGGGGTCAGATTTATAATAGTTTCGAAAGAAGTCTCTTATTCTCACCGAGGCTGCATTTATTTGATTACAGTACACTAATAATATGTTTAATATTAATATTATGTACAGTTTAAATAAAACAGTTGTCTATTTTAATTAATTTTGAAATGTAATTTATTCCTGTGATGGCAAAGCTGAATTTTCAGCAGCGATTACTCCAGTCTTCAGTGTTACACAATCCTTCAGAAATCAGAAATACAGTTTTTCAGCATTCTTTGATGAATAGAAGTAAAAAAGTTTGGTTCTCTGAACCAAAAAAAAAAACTTTGTGCATTCAGTTAATTAATATCCAATATCTTAGAGGTAAAATGATCCAGTTTGAGGATTTACATAGAAAATATGGTATCTTGGACATATTTTGTAACATATTTTGACATGAATTTCTTTATATGAGCTCACCCCTCCCCTTGTTAGGTTTGCCACAACATGAGCAATATGTGAAAATCTGTTGGGAGATTTCTGATTAAAGGAGTGTTTCTGCCGACTAGTGGCAATGGCTTAACACTGCCACGATTACCACAGCGATCACTCTACTAGTCTGTAGACTCAGATTGATTAATCAAATCCATTAAGATATTAGCTATGGTCATTTACCATGCACTTTCACATCAGTAGGTTACACTTGTTTATAGAAAATAAGACCATTTGGAGTAGTTTCTGGTCCTACGATGTCTCAGAGGATCTCAGCAAGCTTACTGAAAATGATTTAATTATTCCAAAATAGTTCAATAACAATGTTGAGAAAGGACATTTACACACGGTTCCAAGGCAGTTTCTTAAAAAACTAAAAATGGAACCAAGATCACGTACTACAGACCAGGCACGTGCAGAGAGGGGTGCGGTGGGGGGCTTGAGCACCTGCCCCTTTTCCCCTTGATGCCCAAAGTGCCCTTTTGTCAAGGAAAAAATTTTTTTTTATTTTTTTTTATTAAACGCCATTTTGTGAAGGCCTGCCCAATCTAACTATTAATAAAATGAATGAATAATAATTTAGTCGTACATAAAATGATCCACATGATGATGACCTTTCACCTGAGGATCTCATAAGGGACTATCCCTCAGACCCCTTTAATGTAGCACACTACCAGGATGTCTTCATAATGTCCGCGGCTGCCGGTAAGTGCAGTTCTCAGCGGAGCGGTGTGCTTGTATACTTATATCATTACATTATTATTATTATTATACAAGAACTGCGTGAAGAGAGCATGCACAGCTGTTGTTTATATTGCTGTTTTTAGCCTGTTGAAGTAAGGTTAGCTCTAGCAAGGGGCTATAATATTTTTGTTCAATATTTTCCTAATGACAATTTTATGATCGGTTTATAAAGGCTACTACCAGCACCTTTTCCCCATTTTTATCACAGAATAAGGCAGGAAATGTATAGTTTCTATAGGCTACTAAATGATATGTCATTCAGTACTGCATTATTCATAAAGTTTATTTATTACCTGGAGATAACTTGAAAAACACACATAAACCGTATATTTTCGCAATCGTGTGTTTATTGTCTTCACGTTTTTATTCAGCTCAGCTACAGATAGCCGGATGCTTTCGTCCATATTAGGGTTTCCTGCACGTCTTAAGTCATACCTTCTATGAGTCTGTTTTGGACTTTCTGCACGAGAGCGCCCTCCAGCTTCGGGTATGAATTAAACACACACTGCATGAGAGTGTTGAGCGCTCCAGATATTCACTTCTCCTCATTTTGGATACGAATAAAACGTCAGGTCATGCATAGACTATCGATACTGTCTCTTTGAATTTAAATCTAGAAACCTCTACGTGAACACACCTGCCCGAATAAAGTGCGGGGACGAAATTACATTTCATTCAAATTAAATATTAAAAATGAAGCTAACGTTCTACACACAGCAATATAAACATTGAGCACCTGCTCCTCCAAAGGTCTCTGCACGGCCCTGCTACAGACCTTGGCATTTCTCATTTGTTTTTTAATGGGCTTGTCAGTAAAACTCATAAAAACTACAGAAAAGTATGTTTGGAGAAGGTTTATTTATTTTTTTAGAAAAACATAAAAATAAACTGCTTTAATGTATTCTTGGTACAACACAGGGTAAACCATTTATGGTATGAAACAATAAAAATAAAGGTGATGACATTTACAGAAAATAATAATCTGATGCTATACAGTGAGTAGGAAGATCACGGCTCAGGCACAGCCGAGTCATTGTATAACAGTGTGATTCATTATCCATTCAGATTGTCTTCTGAGCTACGGCATTTTTTCGTTTCAGTCTGCTATTGCTTTGGATGAAACTTACAATCTGAAATGTCTGAAACAGTGTCCATCGCCATCAGTAACAGATCTGAAGAATTAGTCAGTCACAGTATATGGGAGCTGATTTATAGTACGACCTGCAGCTTGCAACCAATGCAGCGCCACACAAGCAATCAGCTAATTCTGAGGTTACTGAATTTGTAATGCAGTTCTGAACCATCACGTTGCTATAGGTTTTTAAAAAAAAAAAACTTTTCTGCTGGCTTATCCGTGTCATTTATATTGCTTCATTTCTTTCACATGATAATTACCACCACAGAGACACACATATCAGGATCTTGCTGTAGGTGTTCTCATCTGTGCCATCGTTGGTATTGTTGCATACTTTTTTCTAGTTTTACTAGACTACTCTATGAAGCTACACACAAGCGACACACACAGTAGATAAAAGATTTACATAGGAACACTATGTTCCTTTCTAGGCTTTTTAACCCCCAAATATGATTCATAGGATATTTGCATTTGCTGCAGGCCTTACATTTCGAGAATACCAATGAGTTCCATTTACGTTTTATTTTATTTATTTTACTTTTTTACCAAAAATATTTAAATGAGCACAGAGCTGTGATTATGTCCATAGACCTTTGTGTCTTATATTTACCATCAGTTTGTAATTTAAATTAAATTACTCTGCCACTAGTCTTACGGCCTTAACAATACAACTCTTTACTATTGAATGTGTCTCATGAAGGCAACAGAAAAGTAATAGAAAAGTAACATATTTTGGTTTAAGCTGAAAATGCATTTACCAATTCAACCATTGTGAGTCTATGCCTTTAGATAAGATCATTTCATAACCACACAACTGGTAAACCAACAAATTCATCATCACCTACAGAAGATATTTGTCACATTTTCATTTTGATAATTAAGGTTGTGCAAGTGGACGAATGAGGTCTCTAAAATTATGCATGAATGCATAATGTTGCATGGAAAAATAATTGAACAAATTATAGATTATTCCTTTCAGAAATAGTTTCAACTGTCAAACATTTCACATTACTTTGTCTTTCTGGAGCACTTTCTTTACCCTCAGAAGGCCACCATCTACCACTAAATATCAGTGTTCATTTGTATAGGATAGCAATAGGAAGTATAGTTATTTTTTCACTCTGGGTTAATACAGTAGTTAAAGGTTATGTGGGAAATTTGTGATGACCCATACCTTAGTGTTAACATTTATACAAATGTATTCTCTGTAATACGTTACCTTGAGGTTGAACTCATTAATCCATTAGGTATCATGAACTAAAAATGAGCAACGATTTCCACTGCATTTACTAATGTAAGTTAATTTATGTATTATCTATTATTCATTGTTAATTTGTTTGTTCATTAATCTTAATTTACCCATACTGTATATTGAAAGGTTAGAGATGTTAAATTAACATTAGCCAAGATGAATGAATGATTATTCATTGTTAGTTTATCATACCTAATGTTAATAAATTAAACCTTGTTATAAAGTGTTAATAAATTCACATCAAAACATTACTGAAGCTCCACTAAAAGAGAGAACCCTGTCAGTGGCTTTAATCCATACTATCGACAAACAGTCCTGTTTTAGTATGGTATGGATCAAATATACACCCTATACCAACATTTTACACTTACAAAAAATCATCCAAAAAAACTCATGCTCAAGCTTACATCCGACATTAGAGGGATAGTTCACCTGAAAAGGTCAAGGTCATTTAAGACAATTCTGATGAAATTCTGTCATCATTTACTCAATCTCATATTGTTTCAAATCTATAAGACTTTGGTTACTCTTCAAAACACAAATTACGGTATGTTTATTGTCTTTAAGTCCTTTTTGGATCTTCTAAGTTTTGGTTACCTGGACATACAGTGGAGGGACAGAAACCTCTCAGGTTTTATTTAAATATGTGTTTTGCAGATTAACTAAAGTATTATGTGGGAGTGTAAAAGATGATAGAATTTTTATTTTTGGGGTGAACTATCCCTTTATTGGCTGTCTGTTTTCTGACCAATAAAGGCATCTTTGTCTTTGATTGCAGTATGAGGTCTTGCTCGTCACAGTCTGGGTGAACATTCTTTGAGTGTAGATATTATATTTAAATGGTAGATACATTACAATTGGGTGACGGCAGCATTTAAAGAGCTATACATAACTTTTTTTACCCTACTATAAAGTAGTGCTGCAGAGAA